TTTCTTGGATTCGAGCGAACTGAGAAAGCCGAAGAGGACAATACTGGAAGAGGTTGATGAGAATGTCGAGGACGAGGACTCTGAAAACGATTATGGATACTTTCTTCACGATTTTAACGAAGATGTAAATGAGGATTTTCTGGCCAAGGTCGAGGAATCCCAAGGACAGCTATTTAAAAAGTCGTCGACCTTGAAGAACTCCGAGCTTCAGAAGAACTTGACGCACGTTCAAGACGCTCTTGTCAACGTTACGGATTTATCACAGAAGATAAAAATCAAGGAGAAGTTTACCACTTCTTCATCTACTTTCGGTCCGAAATCTCACTCTAGTCCCATGTCCATGTCTTCAGGGCCCATCTTAGAGATTGATCGCGAAGAGATCGTAATTTCTTCTTCACCTCTAAATCCTGTATTCGACCCTGGAAGAGCTGAACCGCTGGTGAACGTTCAAGAACCTTTTAGAACCCAAACCGGGATTTCTTCAGCTTCAGAATTCTCTTCCAGACCTAGTATCAGATTTGGACCACCATGGACCAGATTCGGAACCATCAAAACTCCACTTCGAAATTTCGGAGTGGACTATAAACAGATTCTTCCCATTGATCCGAGTAACTCGGACTGGTCCACGGCTGGAGAACGACCTGAATATGGTTCTTCAGCAAGTCCTTCGTCTTCTTCATCATGGGCAATCGCGTTTCCACTGTACGAGATAGCGAATGAACAACATCCTCAGCAAGATTCCTCAGATGTTCAGAATTCGGATGAAGTGACCTTGAATCTTCCACCAATATCAGAACCGGATACTCCAGAAGCTCTCGACAAGAAGTACGATGAGATCCAGCTGAAGCTGAAGATGGATGAGTTCTTGGACGACAAAAACCTGAAGAAAATTGATGACACCATCGCACTAGCCAGGAGTCCTGTGAGATCTCGAAGACTTGTCGAGGATGAACCAGATTTACAGAATCGGTATTTAAATCACGGTGTGAGGATTTTCGATGGAGCTTCAAATTTCCTGCAGGAGATTTCTTCAGGGAGAAATGAGTCAATAAATCGTCCTTGGGAGGATTCTTATCATTTTTATAATTCCAGAGATAGAGAAGGTCCTTACCCTCTTAATGTCGGTTCCCAAATGGATAGAAAAGCTTGGAAGTCTGGAAGCGCCCCTGAAGAAAGTGAAGATCCAGAAGAAGTTCCTGAAGCAGGACTCGGACCAAACGTTCTTGAAGAGTCCAATATGACAAAAGTGAATAAGATCCGCAATGCCGATGAAATTGGGAGCGAAGAGTTGTGCTCAGAACTAGGATTAACGGATGACGATGACAAGGAGTCCCTGAAGAAACTGATCGACCAGATAGTTGATGTACAGAGGAACGTTAATGACACTTTGCACATCATAAAGGAACGATTGCAGTCTCCAGGGGACTCAGTTGTAGGGACGTCGAGTAGTTCACTTGTAGAGACTTCCAGACAAAGTTTGATAAATGTAAACTCGGAGGAAAGATTGGACCTTGATTCTGGAAAAAATAGAACCTTCGATGCGAAGAGTAAGCTGAAGAAAATTCTTCAGGAACTCGCTGAAGCGTCGTTTTCTGGATCCGGCAATTTAAGCCAGGAAGATCGTCAACGTGCTAAAGATGAATTAACGCGCATTCTAGAAGAGCTATCAAAAGGAGACAATGCTGAAGTTAAGAGCAAAGAACCTGAAATTAAGTCCAAAGATGTCATCGGATCGAGAGACACAAAGTTGAACAGCAAATTTAGGCCTGAAGACTCAGGAGTTGTTTCTCGCAGCTGGTCGTCTTCCTTTTCAGCATCCACCTTGAAATCTTCACCTTCAAGAAAAACAACGCCGAAGAAGCGGAAAAGTGTCAGCGTCCACCACAAATCAAGAAAAGTCAGTCCCCAGAAGAAAGCCCAAAGCCAAAAAACTGCAACTTCAACCCTGAAGAAACATGGATCGGTGGTTAAGATCAAAGGAAAGAAGTCCACGAGAAAGGATCGAAAAAATGCCAAGATTAAGGATGTCAAGCAAAAGTCTTCCAAAAGAAGCGGCGCAGGGAAGAAGAAAAGTGGCAGAAAGAAGAACCTGAAGAAGAGCTCCGGTGGGAAAAAGGGGAACCCCAGATCTGCAGGGTCCAAGGATCATCCTGGAAGTAAAAAAAAACTAGAGAAAAAGAACGATAACGAGGATCGAATTGCGGAGGTCGGTAAAAGGATTAAGGAGATCCTGAGGGATGAGAACAGCTTCGGAACAACTGCTTCCTTGATCGGCAAACGATTCGGCAGAGAATCGGAAGAAAAGACGAAGACCGATGAGGAAGTAAAACGAAGAGCGAAATTCCCGGCTGAAGTAATGCCGGAAGTAATTGTGGCTGTAAAAGATTCAGAAGATGCGACTGACGAATTGTTTGAGAGGAAAAAAGCCCCTGAAGAGATGCCAGAAATTAGGGTTGGTGGTCTTCAGGAAGCCATGGGCCCTTTAGAGCCTCTGCAATGGAAATCCAGTAAAATGGGAACCGAAAAAGAGAAGAGTCTCTTTAAAGTGAAACTAAATGGTCGATTAGACCTTGAAGAGGCATCCTCTCCCATTTTTGTAACCAAGCTGCCGAAAGAACCTGCCGAAGAGTCCAAAAATTCCGGATTGAAGTTAAAATCGACCGAGCAAATCGTGAAGAGGACAAGACGACATTTGCTGGGCAGCAATAAAGTCGAATCCGACAACAGGAAGAAGACGAAGACCAAAAGTTCCAAAGCCAAAGTCAATCCGAAGTCAACCGTCGGAAAATTATCTACTCCAAAAAACGCTGGTAAATAAACGCAACAAATAATAACGAAGTTTGATCATTAACGAAGCGTTTACTTTAAAGTATGTTTTGTTTTATATACATTTTTTATAATTAATACACTTTATAGGTCCTCGGCTTCAGGAGAGGAATTCAGGAGATCATAAAAAGTCCGAAACGGTGATTCCTATTGAAGACGGTAGAATTCGAATAAAGTACATTTACGGTAATCCCAGAGTACGCGAAACTGGATCAAAACGATCTAAAAAACGTGAAAATGAGAGTACAACGTCGTTAGACTGCAACGATTGCCTCTGCGATACCGAGGATACCTTGAAGAGCATCAGGAAGACTATTCTCGAGAAAAAGAATGAAAATCCCCAGGTGTATATCGGCGGTTTCGACTGCACTCGTTACATTGACATCGGCAAGGAAATTGTCCTCTCTGGAGACACTTTGGTCAATATATTACCGGAAAGACCTCGACGAGATCTTGAGGAAATAGGTGGCCGGAAGTACGTACAACCTGAAGACCTTGAAAAAACCCTGACGAAGCGCAACGTGGATCCCTCCCTTCGAGGAAACGGTATCTTCTTTTAATTTTCTTCTTTCAAAAGAACAGTCTATAAAATACAATACATTAATGATTTATTTCTATATCGAGGGTTTCATTGCACCATTACATTATTATTTATTACATCGCAGACCATGAAATCTACTTACTTCCGGGATTTAACGTCAACATACCTTGCAATCCCGTTGGCGACGATTCTTGGTTGACAAGTATAGAACGGCCTAATTACACGTGGACTCGTGATGGACACTCGCCCATTTCCGGTGAGTTCCAGGAATTTAACATCTGCAGGAAGAACATGTCTTAAACGTCAATATGGCGATTATTTTCAGGAGTAGTGCGTAAGAATGGAAATTTAAGGATCTACGACGCGGAGGCGAAGGACTCGGGTAATTATTCCTGCATCGTTACCTACATTGATCCTGATGACGATGGACCTGCGAAGAATGTCTACAGCTACGTCGTCCAGGGTACGTTCTCCATTCTTCAACAAAATGGCGGCCTGAACAAGACGCAAGATATTGGGTGGATGCCTAACGTAACGTGTAAAAAACACGCCGTTACTTATGCATCAACCCAATACATAGAATTTAGTTAATAAAGTAACTGTATTCGATTATGCTTAGAACTTTTTGTCTACGATTTGCAGTAGTGGCATTACCGAAGTACACCTTGAGGGGAACCGGCCGTTATCGACTAGATGCTTGCGACGACACGGACCTCGACTTCCTTGCGACATATTTGACTCAGAAATTCAATGAACTGCTCTGTGGCTCCGGAGTTTGCGACGCTTACGTGTCTACGCCTCGTTGCCACCGTTCGCAGGTAGATTTCCTGGTATCCTTTCGATTCCTGGACAAATCAGCCCGGGAATATCTGTAATTAATGTTTTATGAAGAATATGCTGGTAAAGAGAAATTAGTTAGAAATGTTAAGGATATTTTATCACCGATTTGCAGGTATCGATTAACGCCCTGGTTGGTCCTTGGAGCACGGATAAATTGGTGCCTCTGGATCCTAGCCAATGTGGACTTCCTTGTCGCAAAGCCGTTCAGGATAAAATCTCTTTGTTGTTGGGCAGAAACCTCCGCAGCGTTTTGCGACGTCCCAGTTCAGTAGTCGGAAAATCTTGTAGAGATTGCCGCATACCTCTAGTAATGCGACGACTGCTATAGAGATCTTTAACCACAGTTGTTTTCAGGTTGTCGCATCATCGGGACAGACTCGAGCCACTGGAACAGATTCCAAGGAGCAAGAGGACGAAAGGAAGTGGGCGAGCAGGTGCGGTGCGAATCGGTCTCCTCGTTGGATGTCCTGCCGGATACTACCTACGGGATACTCATTGCAGTGAGTGATCATGTTCCTTTTATTCCTCCCTAAGATTGAAAATTAAGAGGAATGAAAATTTCTTACTAATTTTTGTCCCATAGTTCCTTGCACTGCTGGCCATTACAGCGAGGACGGATGGTCGCACTGCAGTCAGTGTCCTTCAGGAACGTATCAGCCTTTCGCAGGAAGTAGAACCTGCAGAGCATGTACCAATCCCTTCGTAGAAGGATGTCATCGGATGGTAGGTCTACGTTGTAACTGTTAATCTTTAAATTTCACTCATCCACTGGTTTATCTTCTTCGAAGACTGTGCACCTTTTTAATTATTGTGTGGTTTTGTAGCTGTGGAATGTTTCGTCCACTGTCATGACGATCCTTGTTAGCATGGGTGTTGTAATCCTGTTGTTGGTTACGTTGCTGATCTGCTATGTCCTAAGGACCTGGCGGAGGAACACTCAGACCTGTGCAAGGTCCATGAGAATCCCGATGAAATATCAGGTAAACATTTTCTGCAAAATATACAGCGATGAAGGAAAGTGTGGTAAAATGTAGAATATAGTGAATGTGTGAGGCTTACTTATTCCAGCGACACCTTGCAAGACGTGGCTCCAGACACACCCTCGAAGAAGAGGACCACTTGATCGAACGCGATTCAGAATGCGAAAGCGCTTGTAGATCCAAAAGATTGAGGGAGAAAAGAAAGAGAAATAGGAAGCTCGAACAGGGCAAATCTCACGAGAGAGAGGATGTCCGAAAGCTTCGTAGAAGTGACCACGAGGTTCGCAGGGTTTCACGATACCTTTTGTGGTATTTTACTTTCATTAGTCACTAAATGGATGAATTCTTTAGGTTAAAAGGCATCGAGAGGAAAGTGACGAGTGTCGACAGGACAGAAGGTCTGACCGAATCCGCAGTGTACCTATAATTTGTATCGACTCTTACCGATCCCACGGGGGATGCTGTAAAGATTGTAAGTAAATTTCTTGAATATGTGAACTTTAAATAAATTAGTTGATATTCTACATGTTATAGATTCTCGAATGAAGCAGCTTTACAATCTCGTGCCACCTATACCCCCACCAGACTTTGACGGCAGATGACACTTACAAAGTGCTTAGAGCAAAGATGAGGAAATTACAAATATTACGCTGAAACATTATTTTGATATTCTGATCAAGCCAAGCGTCAATTAATAACTTTAAAGGAGAAAGAGAAATGAATCACAGAGCTTTACATAGAGCTTCATCTTTAAGGGCTAATTATATTCTGATAGTAATTGTACATTGGTATGCGCATGTGATATACATTATTAATAAACTGGATCTACTTTTAGGTGTACACGAGCACAACTGAGTATGTAACTTCTCCTCAGTACACAGCTTCTTAAAAAATGGGCCGAATTCATTACAAATTGTATTAATTTTTATAATATTCCTTCTTTTAGCCAGTGACAGTACTTAGGATGTGCTCGCACTCTGCTGGAATTACTGGGTCGTTATCTGTGCAAAAATATACAGTTTAGTCATTAAGATCTGATCGGCAACACGTATTGGACTGAACAGTGGTATATTCTCTTACATTATTTACTTCAGCATCTGGTAGCGTACAGCAATAAAGGGTAAGGCGAATCCGCTACCGAAGAAGAGGATGAAATATGCCGTTAACTTATATCTATTCGTAATGCTGAACGGTAGATTCTACAAAAAAGACAAACTTGTTACCTTAGCTCGTGCAAATTCTTACCGAGGAAATTTATTAAATTTTATTACATAACGATACAATACACCCTTCAGATAGCAACCCTAATTCCACTTACCGATCCAGGAATTCCACCGCTTTGATGATGAGCCGCACGGACCGCCGAAGTCATAACATTTCTAATAATCTGTCTGGCAATCATTTTCCTCTACAGTGTCGAATACTTTAAAATATTGAAATGCAAGAGACAATCGCAAGTATTCGATCCACTTGCGAATATTCAATCTTCGGTAAAGAATCTCTCTAGAGCGGTTTCGACAAGAATTTCTGGCTTTCAATGAGGCGCATGCGCGTTCTTTTTATTTTGAAAAATGTCGATATGGCAGCGAAACTAACCTGTAACTATTAAACATTCCTCATGTTCCAATAATCTACATAGTGCCAAAATTGAGCGTTCTAAAAATAGTATGAGGATTTTTAACGTATATTATTTTGTAATTTTATCATTAGATATCTTTAGTTTCTAATTTTATGAATAACGATTTTTGCTCAGATTTGGCGACATCTAGCCGTGGAGGTGGCAAGTTTATCTAGAAAAATATGGATATTCTGGTGATGAGGTTGGCATTCTACAATTGTGGTATATTCGTGGGTAAGAGCTCGCGCGTCGCCGCGATCGTAGCTCAAGTGTGGACAGGGGAAGCAGACGAAATTTTTCTCTCTCTTTTCCTGGGGATTTGGAAAAAGTCTGTTTGTGGTAAAAACCAGGGTCGAAGTGGAAGGTGGAGAATGGGTAATGGGAGCGGGCGGCTCGAGTGAACGCTCTCGGGGACGGCTCGAGGACTCGAGTCGACCGGATGCGCCCTGTAAATAATGTGACGTGGGACCGTGTGTGATGGCGAGCAAAGAGGGAGCCGAACATCAACAACGGTTCGTCGAGGAAATTGATTACAATGAGATCGTCACGGAGGAGGTAATTGAATTTTAGGTTACTGAGCGGCAGGACTTTAAAGAGGACGCAATACCGAGGGCGAGATTTTTCTTGGAATTCTTGCCCCGTAGAGGATTACTTTAAGGATCCTTCGAGTCAATTTGTCAGCTGCGTCTACTGGTAATCAAGATTATCGTGTTTTGATGGCAGGTATGAATTTTCCAGGTCGTTGGGAAAGGATCGTTCGGTGTTGTGTGGAAAGGAAGGTGGAGAGGCCGTTACGTGGCTGTTAAACATATTAATTCAGAGGGCGAGAGGAAAGCGTTCGCCATAGAGGTGCGACAGTTGTCCAGAGTGTCGCACCCTAATATCGTCAGACTTTATGGAGCCTGCACGAAGAACCCCGTATGTCTCATTATGGAATATGCCGAAGGTGGATCTTTGTACAATGGTGCGTATAGAGATGCGCTTTTACTTCTTTCAGTTTTTACTTTTAATGGTATGATCAAGAGGTTATGTGATGGTGTTTAATACCGACATTTAATAAGCGTTAAAACGTTTCAGTTCTGCATTGTCCTCCGTACCCGCGTTATACAGCAGGACACGCCATGAGCTGGGTACTTCAATGCGCACATGGCGTAGCCTATTTGCATAATATGAAGCCTAAGCCACTGATACACAGGTTAGTATGACAAGATACAAATGATTTCATGAAAATAGCTAACCAATTAAACGTTTATTTATTGCATAGGGACCTGAAACCTCCTAATTTGTTGCTAATCATGGGCGGTCAGATGCTCAAGATCTGCGACTTTGGGACAGCTTGTGACCTGAACACGTACATGACCAATAACAAAGGCTCAGCTGCCTGGATGGCACCAGAAGTCTTCGAGGGCTCTCGATACACAGAAAAATGCGATGTCTTCAGTTGGGGTATTATCCTCTGGGAAGTTCTCTCCAGAAAGAAACCCTTCGACGACATCGGAGGGTCAGCTTACCGAATCATGTGGGCTGTTCACATTGGACAGCGACCACCTGGGATAGAAGGTTGTCCAAAGCCTATCGAGGACCTTATGAATAGGTGAACTCTCCTGCTTTTTTCTCCCATTTCTTGTAGTCATTCATACGGCTGAAATTTAAGTCGGCTTATTATTAGGTGTTGGAAGAAGGTTCCCGAAGAGCGACCATCAATGGACGAGGTAGTGAGGATAATGACCGTCCTCTCCGAAATGTTTCCTGGCGAGCTGGAACCTGTTGAATATTCCTTAAGTACGTCTTGTCGATCTCCGGCGAAAGCAGGTTGAACTCGCATAAATCGGAAGTGAGGGGTCAGCTACTCTTAAATTTGGTGTGCAGCATGATCCAGGGTCACGGATACGCACTGTTACGTTTTCAATGTGGAAATAGCTTCGTTACGACTAATCTTTTTTCCCTTTTAAATGTTCACTCCACCGTTAATTTGAAATACCAAGATACGAGACTATGTCACTTTGCTTCATTATCTGAGAATCGCTTTATTCTTTCCTGCGCTTATTCGCAAGAAAACTAAAACAAGACATCACCAGACACCGTCCCAAAATCCGAAGGCTACACACCAGATTATTGCAGTTACAAACCCCACATCGAGGATTTACTTTTCTAATTGTTCAAATGCAGAGGCTAACGCATCTCTTTTTCAGGCAGTGAGGTGGACGAGGACGAAGAGCCTGGTGATACTTTGGACTTTACCGAAACTTTGGACTCGCATATCAACGGATCGTTGACCAACGGGGCCGACTCTCGATTGCCAGCTCTGGTTGAAATGGATAACGAGAACGTGAAACAGGAAAGCGTCGGTTCTCCGGAGACGGCAGAAGTTTCCTCTCCGCCAAAGTTTGGTCGGGTTTTCATCTCGGATGATTCGCCTCGAACTCTAGGCGTCCATGACGACGCAGAAGTGGCTCCGGCAACTCGTTCGCCTCAAATTACCGAAAATTCTGACAGAAATGCGGCTCAGAAGTCGGCACGAGCTACTGCAGCGCCAACTTCTGGGAAGCCTGCTACATTATCGAGGTGCAACTACGACCTCGCGCCACTTCACGTCGAGTGCGATCCGGTTAGTTGATTTCTCCTTCTTTTTTTTTTTTTTTATAAGATGGTGATTAATACACAAATGGGTAGCAATGAATTTAAGATTCAGTTAATTTAATATTTTACTACCATTTTCTTTGGTATCGTTAGAAGTAAGCGTGACATACACCGATTACTGTCAATGATATTTATTGATTTATGCGTTTCAGAATGCCTGGGAGCTAGAGTCTTCAAACTCTTCCTGGGAAATTCGAAAGATGGCCGGCTTAGACAAGATGGCTCCCAAAAAGCCTCTGAAGAGTGAGTTTTTAGTCAATTGCTTTGCGTGATTAACTGCGAAGGAATTAAAAACACCGAGGCCTGTATTCACGCTTCACTCTTCGCGTTAAAAGACGTCTTTTAGCCATTTAAAGGCTAGAGATAAAAAGCGTCTTTTTAACGCAAAAAGTGAGATTTGGGCACCCAAAACTTGAAAGTGTGAAGAAGAGTCACATACATCGTGTATGCTTAGCCCTTTTTTTGTTTTTGTTTTTGGAGCATGACACGTGAACACAGGTGTTTCATGAATGGTCGTTTCGGTTGCGCATTTCGGTGTTGGTTTCACTTTTACCGAAGGACGCTATGATTTATACCGAATTGCAATTTCGGGCGGCGCACTTTCCGCCATATTTGGGACCCTCTACTTCGACGCCACCTGGCAGACATACCTGAACTAAACGGAAATTAATCATGGGATCGTTGCGACTGCACTTATCTTTTCCTGTTCCACCGTGACCCGAGTTTTTGCGCCAGCAAGGGAGGCTCGAAAGTCGATTTCTTTCAACCTAAGAGACGAAAGGAGCAACTCGGTGTCGGCACCACACTGTCTGCCGCAGTGCCAAGGAATCGACAGAGGGAAGATCTCGAGCGCTGCACCTGCACTCAAGAAACGCGCGCTATTTATACGCGCAGCACGAGATGCGGCCTACAGATGCAACTGCAGCTTACCTACGCGTCTATCGTTACCTCTAGCCTCGTTATTTCGGGCTGTCGATTTGTCATTAACACCTTAGACGGCAATAGGATTCGGGAAAGATTATTCCGCCCGGCAATCATTTCGACACATCTCTATTCTCTCTTTTCTACACATTCAACGATACAAACGAGTCAAGGTGTGCTCCCAGGGAGGTCTTATTTTTGACTCATTCCACGCCTTCCGCCATATTGCAAAATGGCAGCGGTTTGTTTACAAGTATCGCCGGAAATTAAGTCGCACCATCGGATTCGAAAAATTCCGGGTAAAATCGTATAAAAATTGGTAAATGCTCCGTTTTATATTTCACCTCTTTTAAATTTACTCCGTGTTGCTCTGGATTTTGGTCAGCGTACATGGCCATGTTTTAGAAGTATATTGAGTTTAAGTTCTTTGAAAGGGCGCGAGAAAGCACACCTTGTCTCCTCTGCCATCACGTCTTCGGCGACGTTATTTCGAGCCGCTGATGCATGGACAATCCCCTAGACGGGATCCTGTCGTCGGGAGCAAATCTCAAGTTAATTTCCTGTGCGGAACGGCACTCCAGATCGGCACGAACCTTCTAGGAAATTCTATTGTACCGTAGCGAAAGGTACTTCCTACTTGTTGGGGGATCTTTGTACAGAGATGGTTTCCTTTTGTACATTTTTTTGTACTTGGTACATTTCTGGTAAGAAAACGCGTAGGTTAGCATCTTGACGCAAACATGGCTAATTGGTCTTATTTGTCACCTTCAGACTTGGCCGGTGGGGAAGGCGGAAGAGGAGTCGATCAAGAGGCGGGAAGACATAGTAATCTTCATTTAGGACCACGTGGACACTGGTCCGGCCGTGTGTGAGACACGCGCACGGGCGTGCCATCGTGTGCCTTCCTTCGCAGTGTTCGCAGCGTTTTAGCGCTGCAGCTCTCGAGTATATTTTCGGCCCCGAATACCAAGCTACGTTGACTCATCCCGAATCGCGGTTCACTCTTGAGACACGCGCCGGTCGATCGACGGCCGGTATTAGTAGCTGTCAACGAAATCGCCACCCGTTTCGCGAGCCAAGACGGGACCATTAAGGCCGTGCGGTATCGGCGGTCTTATAGAGTCCGATACTCGCCATAAGCAGATATCCGCACGCATGCCACACTTTTACGGCTAATAGACGTCTTCTATCTGTAGCCTTTAAACGGCTAATATACGTATCGGCGGTCTTATTGAGTCCGATACCCGCCATAAGCAGATATCCGCACGCATGCCGCACTTTTACGGGTAATAGACGTCTTCTATATGTAGCCTTTAAACGGCTAATATACGTATCGGCGGTCTTATAGATTCCGATACCCGCCATAAGCAGATATCCGCACGCATGCCGCACTTTTACGGCTAATAGACGTCTTCTATCTGTAGCCTTTAAATGGCTAATATACGTATACGCATGTGGCTAATATACGTATACGCATGTCGCACTTTTACGGCTAATAGACGTCTTCTATTTGTAGCCTTTAAACGGCTAATATACGTATCGGCGGTCTTATAGAGTCCGATACCCGCCATAAGCAGATATCCGCACGCATGCCGTACTTTTACGGCTAATAGACGTCTTCTATATGTAGCCTTTAAACGGCTAATATACGTATCGGCGGTCTGATAGAGTCCGATACCCGCCATAAGCAAATATCCGCACGCATGCCACACTTTTACGGCTAATAGACGTCTTCTATCTGTAGCCTTTAAACGGCTAATATACGTATATTAACCCCGAATCCGAAATACAAGCCCTCGCACAGGCTCGTTAGATCGGATTAGATGCGGCCAAATTGTAATCACGTCCATAGGAAGTAATTTTAAGTCGGTCCTAAGTGTAGCGATAGTTTTTAGTTTCACGTCCTTCGCTGTTAGAAATTCACGAGTATCTCAGTCAGGCTGTATATGCGTTTCTTTGTTATATCGCCGTGGAAGCGAGGAAGTAATCGCGTCCGTTAAGGGGGTCGTCGGTGGTGTCTCGTTTTTAAAATAGTCCCGCGTACACGTGTATCTTTTTAAGGTCTTCGGGCGGATAATAGGATGACACAGGAACAGGGACTCCTAGGAATGCGAGGGGATGACTCGATCGTTCCGGACGCGTTTTCTTCTTGGCTCGCGCATCGTGGTTCCCGGTCTACATACACCAGGGTCTCTTGGCACGTGTACGTGCATGCCGATGTATATGCGGACTTTCGCGTGTGCACCAGAGACAGACCGGCTAAGAGTTTCGGCGATCCCGGTTACGGCACGCTCCTGATAAGTGAATCACTCGGTCCCGCCGATATCGGGCTTAATGCACTTTTGTAGATTTCCTAATCTCTTCTCAGCCGGTCTCTGCAAAAATAATACCACGACGACGACGGGGGCGGGGATTCTCGGGAGCCGGGAGTACGACTCGGGCGTTCCTGGAACTCTTGGAAAGTACCTCGGCTCGTCTTTGAGACCATGTGCCCGAGTTCACGGAACCTTGCGAAATATTTCGAGACCTAATGGAGGTGTCGAGCTGGAAAATAAATCTCTAAATCGGTAGTACTTTCGGGAGATTGCCGGATGTCCCATTGCAAACTCGGTCCTCGAGCATGGCTCTTTTTTCTGGGCATTTTTTCTTAACACCCTAGGTCTCCATAAAGTCTCCGGTCCCTCCATCACATATACGTTAACACCGATGATTAGATCCCTGGAAGGAAAAAAAGGACACGCAATCCTGGATTTTTTTTTTTCCTCGTGGTCGTTTGTCGAGGGCGTCTTGTATCTCGTAATGCGAGCCACCGATGAACTCATTGCTGAGTAATCAGGGTGCGTTCTTTGTAACGTCTTCCTCGTGTATGGCAGTTCCTACATTACTGATGTACCCTGAAGTGCGCTTGCGATGGGTATTTTTAGCTACGACTATATGCAGTCTTAAGGTGAAGTGAAACCCCCTTCAAATCAGTCGATTCTAATACAACACTTTTTTTTAAGGGTATTAGACGAAACTGTTCGAAACTTTGACACGTCACTTCTGATCATCTAAAAATTGTCCTGACACATTCAAAATTTTGATTTTTTAACAACATTTTTTAACTCAACCGAGACCAGAAACAAAATGGCGTCGAGCTCTCATATTTCTATCAATATACAATTATCGGACGCTCTGATATGAGAATCGAAAGGGTCAGGACAATTTTACGACAACTTAGAACACTCTGGTAATCCATAAACTCGCATTTGAACGGGATAAAGGCAAAAAAAGTGTTGTATGCGCTTCTTTGCTAAAACGATGGTAATACGAGGTCTCGGAGTGAAAATTTAATTGACCTGAGAATCACAGATGGCGCATGGGGTCCCTCTGCAGTCAATTAGGGCCCCAGAAAGCATGAATCCAGAGGATTTCTGTAATTTTACTTCGATTTCTTTATAATTATTGTACGAAAACGACAGGTGGACTATGCCATTTGGTCCAATACCCAATATAATTCAACCCAGCTGTCAATATAAAAACGAACGTCGGCAACTTAGGCATTTAGAAAAATCTTCTTTATCGACGTCGATCAAGTTCCTCGACGTGTTTCACTTCACCTTAAATTCTCCAGGCTTTATATTGCATTGTCGGCTCATTAGATATTTATAACAATAGGAAGCGTACGTCAGCCTAGATTTGTACTCTTGCGACCTTGCGTCCAGGGCGTAATGTCATTCATTAGCCCTAAGTGCGTGTATGTAGTGCAGTTCTTATGTCGTTAGTGTACCCTAGGGTCGCGGAGGAACGGCTACGACAAAGAAGCCGGGTCTCCCGAGAACGCGAGGGAATGACTCGATCGTTTCTTCTTGGCTCGCGTATCGCGGTCCCCTACCTAGAGCCCCTCACAAGCTCGCAGTCGCGGAGAGCCAGGGCCGTATATATACACGAGGTCCAGATCGGGGCGGGAGTGGTTTTAAACAGGTGTGGCAGCTTTGAGTCAGCCTCCCCGATATAGCGGCGCGTTTGTTTAGTAGCTCCGCTAACTTCCTTCGGTAAGGCCTCCGTCCTCCTCTTTGCCGAGGAGTTGGATGGACGGGAGGACCGAAGACCTCGAGGACCAGTAGAGATCCGCTGCCTCGAGTTTTGACAAACACTTATTCTGCGACTTCGTCTTCGCCCTAGAAGGGGCCCCCGAGTTAGAAGTCGCTTTCACGTTTCGGCGTCCCGACGCTGGTTCTTCGAGAGCCATGGAGACACCACGCGGAGGAGACTCGTAGAAGGGCTTTCGTCGAGCTGGGACCCCCTCGTGGCGATCGCTGCAGCGCGCTAGGACCTTGCGAAATGTGCGACGATTTCCCTAGGGTCCTCGGAAGAGAGACTCTCGAGTGTTGCTGGATACTCTTGCGTTAGTATTCATGCCCTGACCTACCCCCCAGGTCTTCATCCGTTCATCTCTTTTGCGGATATCTGATAAGCAGATTCGGTCTTGATCGTGCCGTTGGTCTTGCATCTGCTCGACATTACTCGACCCCTCTCAGCATCTCCGTGACGTTCTTCGTCGTCACTTTAGACTGATTTTGAGGGTACCTTGAGTTAACACGAAATGCTGATGGTAGGACGCTGCAGGTGGTGATTTCTGTTTTTTTTTTCTTTTTTTGTCTAGGTGTAATGGATGGAATACCTTACTGGTTCGCTGATGGGTATCGTGGGTTGGGTTATGAACGCCTGTGTTGACTTTTTTATGTTAATGCGTGATGGTACATTGGGAGTTTATGTTAGAAGTTCACCGCCGACTGCCCTTTATGTATACTCTGTATTTCGGCAGGCAGCAGCACGACGAACAACGACCTGGACAACGTTTACCGGCTGCTGGACGCGGAGCTCAGACCTCTCACGCCGGATTACACTTGTCCGCGATCTCGGGAGATCTTCGAGGAACACAAGCAACTGGCCCAGGAGTACCTGAAGGTGCAGACCGAGATCGCTCTTCTGGGCCAACACAGAAACGAGATGCTGAAGAACCTGAGCGTCGACAGTCTCAGGCAGCAGCAGGAGCTGCGGAAGCTGGAGGACGAAAAGGTTCAATTTTAGACACTCTGAACTGATATGAGCTAAGGACCCGGTCCTTGCCGTCAACCTGACTCTAAAATGCCTGGTAGTGTCCACCTCCACTACCTTCTACTAACACAACCCAAATAATGTCAGTCAAGTCTTAAACATTAGATAATGAGTAGGCAACCCGGATAGGTCTGGTAATTGATTGCATTTGTAGACGTGTAAGTTCAGTTTTAACCCGTAGGAGTCTCTAGTGAAGCTGTACCGCAACCTGAAGAGGCAGCTGGAGATCATGAAGGGCCAACGAGTGGGCGCATCCGGAAATTCCGTCGACCGACAGACATCAGCAACCTCCGCAGCGTCCGTTCCTGCTGCTGTCTCCAGCGCCCAGGACGGTTGGGTGGTGGTTCCTCGACAAGAACCCTCGTGATTCACCGAAATCCCCGCACGTAGGACCGTGCGAGAGTCAACCATCGTTTAGTGTGCATCCTGAGGAATGCGTTTCTCTTCCAAGACCGTCTCTAGGAGTCTCGAGTTGTGGGCTGTGGTCGGCGACCAGCCGAACAACCACCGGCTCACCTCCAGGAGCGACATGCACGACTTACTTAAAGCGAATCGTTTGTATAATACCGCTTAAGTTAAGATAAGATACTGAAATCGGATCTAAGTCATGATGCGACTCGGTGCAGAGATTTTAGATACCGACGACCTACTAGAGGTTTCTTCCGCAAGGGTAATCTGGACTTCGAGGATAGGGTGAAAACGTGAAAAATAGAAGTATTCACAATTTGTATGTAGCAAACGTAAATTCATGACCTAGGTCGGGAATGATCAGGAGAGACGACTGAGTCTTGAACATCGACCGAGTGAACTTAACCTCGACTTTGTGTCCGTTCATACCGAAAAGTGCGACCTCAATCTAGATCGCTCTTTCTAAGTCAGTAAAGTAGGTACTGTATGTTGTACGTGTATGTACTTGGATCGAATGCCGTGATCTCATACCATTTTATGATATTCCATCGTCCAGGGTGTCTTCGGTCGGTCGCGGGGACCGCCAGAACTGTGCGTACTAAAAATCGCGGGGTGACGCAGTCACTTTGCAATATGTGAATTATGTTAATAAAATGAAGTTTATTAATAGGAGTGATCTGTGCATCTCGATAGGCTGGAATTGTATTATGTCCAGGAAAGGTGATAAGGGATACTGATTTTTTTAATTCGAATGTGCCGCCTCTGGCGGCGGCGCGGTGAAGTACAAGCCGGTGTAATTAATCACGTATACTTGTTTATATTAACGCGATCTACTGTGGTGGTCCTAATAATTAAAAATGTTAGGACTTCGACATGTGTAGGCGATCTCGGTATTATTAGGTCATTATTGTTATCCTACAGCTGGTACAATGTTTTTCATTATTATTGGAGAAACTACTTTACTATTGGTTGATAAAAGTTTCAGAACTTTCGTGTAGTGTTACCTACTGTAGGAAAAACGGGGTGATAGTTCTAGCGATGACCTACAGGTAGCGGTACGAATCCATTTCCATTCTCAATTGAACGAGTGATCAACTTACACGGGATTTATCATCAATCTGAAGTGAATTCCATCAGATTCTGTTCTGCAATAGTCATAATTCTTTCTGTCAGACTTGCTGGCGCATCTTACTTCCTGACCAAAACATCTGCCGGTAGTTCTTGAACATTAAACCCGTCTCAATTTAGTTTTAATGAATGCTTCGCTCATCACAAAGAGACAGCGATCTCCGTTCGTGAAGATCCATCCTTGCTCCAGAAAAAAATGTATCTCCTTTTTTGGAAATACCGAAATTTGATAAAGCCAACCTACTTTTGTCAGACAGCTGACTCGTACTTGTTCATCCGTTTAGAGGCCAAAGTGATTAACTCCACTTTAAAGATTCGATTTTTAATCTCAGGTCCAATTCACGCTTAACTTTTCGTATTTATTAATTTTCTTTATTTTTCGATTTCATGGAGCTAATATAGACTTGAGTCGTGTGTTGGTAACGTTTAAAGAATGTAGGCGGTACCTTGGCTCAAAAGCCTTGGAGGGACACGCGGCGGATGATGACCCACTACTCCATTTTTTTTTAGGAACGACACGAGGCAGTGACACTCCGGTTCCTCCCCGAAATTCCCCATATCTGCGCGACAAGAATATTGTCGCTCGTTCTGGTTGTCCCCTGACGGGCCGTTCACCGTCGCCAACTCGTCCAGCTATCAAGGCCAGTCGCTCGATTATTCGCGTTTCTTATGCACCCGGCATAACGCTCCGAGCACCGAGCCTGCTCTCTACAGCGAGCAGTAAACCTGCTTCTCGCGCCCGCCATTTTTACCTCGTTCCACATCCTACGGGGATCTCACCTCGCGAGTTCCAGGGCCCCGCAAAAGAATAGCGAGGTTCGAAACTTGATTTTCCCGATGGATTCACATTCCGTGACCGTGAACCTTTCCTCCACAGCGTCCTCATCGAGCCATTTTTCCCTACTCTCGCTCTCAGCGACTCTAAATGGCCCCGCGATGCAAAGTCGTCACCTCGCGACTTCCAAGTCCCCCCAGAGGAGCCATACCCATCAAAATTGGATTATCTCGACGGAATTCGAATCCTCAAAAGTGAACCTTTCACCCAATACTATCCCATCCACGAGATATGCATGCATGTAGGTCTGCCGCCCGTCTTTCTATTTCCGTATCCTCGCCGCCGTTTCTCCCCCATTGCGCAAGGATCTTGTTATCGTGAATGTCGATAATAATAATCGCAACGAGCAAAGGTGAGTTAGTAAATAATAAAGGAAACGGCGGTCCTCCCGCCGGCGCATCGCACTTTCTAACCAATGAACTCTCTTTATGTAACGGCCATTATTCGTCCCTTTATTATACAACAAACGTAAATACAAATCGTACAGCCTACGGCGATTGGGATAATTGGAGGCGATTGGCGTGGGACGAGCGGAAGTGCTCGGGAAGGAAGAGTGGAGTCGCGTGCGCGTCTTGGTAAGGGACTAGAGGACTTCTTTGGCAAGCGGCCGACCGAGGAACACCGGGACATCGTCCTGCGACCGCCATTTTTTCTTTTTTTTATTCAAGACCATCCAAGGATTAAGAGACGCCAGTGTCGGACATTCACGGTTTAATTCCGCCTCTCGACGGATGTTGACGAACTCCGTCCATCGGCCTATCTCCCTAACACGGATTTGCAGGTTATGTCGGATCGCTTCTTCTTAACCGAGTGGGTTTTCTTTCAGGACGCGTGCAGCAGGGAACTCTACGTTTCTAACGGCTCGGTTTCGTTCGGCATGGAGGAAAGAAGAGAGCTTCTCGTGCGCCCTGAATAGGTATTCCCTGGTTGAATAAAGGTCTTCTTTCTAGGGGATCGGGTGTGCTGGAAAGATGGTCGACGAGTCAACGTTTTTAGGTTAAGTTCCCGGTGAACCTTGAAAACTACGAGTCCAGTCTTTGAGGTTATGTGCCCGGAGTGAACGTGACTTTCGAAGTTACTGGGGAAGGAAGAAAGAAGTGTCGTCGAGTGAGTACGATGGCGAACGGTTTCATTTCTAAGTAAAAGTCCCTTCGACGATAACGTACCGTGATTAGACTTTTTTCTTCCCCTCTTTTTAGATGACTGTTAAAAGTGGAAACGAGTATGGAAGTCCCGGTGAATTTTGGAGCCTTATAGATTTTCCGTGCTATGAAAAGAGTAGACCGAAGAGGATGTAAGAAGAGGGAGAGGGATCAAGATCACTCCGAGCACTGCGCACGCGCCCTGAATCGAGTTCCACGATCGAAGCCCGGTTTCCCCTCGGCTCCTTATCCTTAAAGGTAGAATTTCGCAGACACGGCATCCTACAGTCGCACAACAAGTGGACGAAAACGAGGAAAAGAAGAGTCGTAGCTCCGCTTAAATAATTTACGCGCGAAGTCTTATCCTACGCCGCATAACCTCCGGTGTACCGGCACACACACTACCACCGATGGACACCCTAAACAAATCCAACAAACAAATCCGCAATTACTCCGACGTACGAATGCACTATTTCACCGCTATATACACAGGCGTTCATATCCAGGAAAAGAAATTGCAAGGAACCTCGCCTTGTCGCCGCCTATTAGTTCCCACGAACCTCCTTCCAGGAATCGAGAAGGAACTGATTTCGCTTAAAAATCCAACATTATACAATTATGATACGTTTCGCCGATGGTAGTATGCGCGTAAACACCGTTTAAGTTAACCTCCTACCGCTCGCAGCATGCACAGATAATTCGGCGTACCAACAGGCATTACAAAAATAACGAGGGGTACTCTTTGATTAAGGCGCCACACTTATGACTAAGTTTTTTCTGTACAATTCGCAAGACCCGATCGCTCGCCCGAGGTCCGCAAGCTCGACTCGATTTCCACCGTAATTCGCGGCCAGTTTCCAACAATCGACGACTTTCGACGTCGGACGCTAATTTACCGTCCCGGGACGCGTCGCGAACCTAAAGTGACGTTTTCAAGCGGCAATAAATAGTGACACGAATGTTTCCTTCGATGTGCGGCGCGGCGCTGACATCGCCTCTTGTCATCGACTCGATTTCCACCGTAATTCGCGGCCAGTTTCCAACAATCGACGACTTTCGACGTCAGACGCTAATTTACCGTCCCGGGACGCGTCGCGAACCTAAAGCGACGTTTTCAAGCGTAAATAAATAGTGACACGAATGTTTCCTTCGATGTGCGGCGCGGCGCTGACTTCGCCTCTTGTCAGGATCTGAGAAAATGTATATTCCTGATGATTTTCTAACCTCTTTTTTTACCATCCTCCCTATTTTCCTTTGCGATAAGAGACGCAAGCCAGTCTGACGACGCGCACATTCAGAAGGACGATAATTAACGACACGTCAACGTGGCAATAAATATATATATATATATATATGTATATATTTAGAGAGATATTTTTTAACGCGAACACGATTAGGCAACGAAACGAAGGGGGTGTTTCTCTTTTTGTACGGATTTTCAATTGCTTTTCTCTGCTGTTTTGTTCTTATTTCTTTTTTTTTTCCTTTTTCGATCTGGGAGGTGGAGAACGGAGTATAGAAACCTGCGCCGGCCGAAGCTTGCGTTCGTCACAAGTACACTACCGATTTAGTTGTCAATGGGCGGATCGGAAGAGAGAGAAATAGGGAAAATGAACGTCGGAAATGAACGTTTTCATTGGCAAACCGGCGGGAAGTGAACGGCAGAGTCACTTCGAAATGGTTGTACAAGCTCTGGTTTATTCATGAATGCGTTTAGAAATCAGGAGGCATTGATGGACGCTGTTTGGACAGACCGAGCTCTGCAGATTTGCTTGAGCTAAGTCTGGTACATGCTTCCGTCCTAACCCAGAATTAACCCTAGCTTAATTGTTGACCGCACTGTATTCATTGGAAGTGTTTACGCCTTCCTTAATATAACTTTAGCTATCGACATAAATACTCCCTATAAATTCTCCGCAGTGGGTAATCAAGTTAGGTTAGGTTAGGATTACGACGAAAGCATAATCCAGGCTTGAACCAGGGTTTAATACGGTGTTACGTGGATTAAGGGATTAACGTACTCATTTAGGAACGCAAGCTTCCGGTTTCCTTTCGATTTTCCCTAGCGGATGCAGAGTGCCTAGATTGAGACTTTCGGCACGCCTAGGGATTTCTCGGATAGGATCGGCACATATCACCAGCTATAAGAAAGGCCATTGGCTCGGTGGCGGAGTTCAACGGTAACCTTAATGATCCGCACGTAAACCGTATCTACAGGTGTTCGACATTGCCGCAACTACCAGTCGGTGAATGTAAATTACCGGTTCGCCCCACCGCCGCGTATCTTTCTCTCCCTCTCTTCCGCCGCGCCATCTTGCGACACGAATTCGCACTAGCGGGCGCAACCGTGGAGGCCCTCGGAGTCGGTCTCGCCGACGACCTATCCCAGCTTCCATTTTCTCACCGGATAATCGAGGGAAAGGATGTAATCGCCGTTACTAGGATTGCCGACTTCCGGAAACCAGTAGCCAACTCGAAGAATAAACACCGCTTGGACGCGGTCCACGAACTGTCATGGCGGCGCCGAGAGGGGCCTCCGCGCGTTGCCAGAGACGCCATAAACGGACCGTAACGAAACGGGAACAAAAACGAAAAGTCCGACCTCTACGGTCCAAGGTCGGCACCGATAATTTCGCGCGCTAATTTACCGACGATCGACTCGATCTACCGAGGATATAATGGGCATGGGCGTTAGTCCATGGTCCAGGTGGAAGCGAAAAAAAAAATCTAACAGCGTGGGCTGTCGATTTCTCTCGAGCTCCTTCCTGGGGTAGTTGGGGTCAGTGGTTCGCACGCTTTGACTAGTAAGGCTTTTTCGTCGTCCGAGGTCTTCCCGAAGGCCCGACGACTGTTAAGGCTGGCCCACATGACATAGACTTTGGCCATTAGCTGACCTTTATATACTACACTTCAGAATTAATATCTCTACACTTAGATAAATCGACTTTACAAAGATTTTCCTCCATTACTAAACAAAATTAATTTAAATACGGTAATGTATCAAGATCCACATTCCTAACGGTGATTATATTGTAGATTAATTATATTCTTTAATAGAGAAAGATTTTTCTAAAGATATCCAAGTGTAGAAAGGTTAGTTCGGTGTGCAAACATCGAGGTTGTTGAAACCGCTGATTAGCGTCCGTGTAGCGGCGTTGTAGAGACCGAAGTCAGTTTTATGTGGACCAGCCATTAGTCTAGGGTAATCGGGATCCTATACGAGGATCTCTTCGATTATTTGGGGTAGAGTTTCCGCCTGATGGAGGACCTGGCTACGCCAGCTCCCGGGTCGCCATTTTGGAGAGGCACCGTCTCGTTCCAGGGACTCCTGGTCGGGGTTATGGGGTCACTAAACCTGGATTTAGTGCTCGAGTTAGTCATCGACTGACTCGCCAATTCCCGGTCATTGCTGCCCTCGAATAGTCTGCACATTTCCCTGACCGGAACAGCCCTGAGTCCTCTGTTGAGATCGTGCAGCGACCTAGCCCGCTGTTTTCCTCTAGGACTGGGTTTAGAGGAGGATCTACCAAGGTCCTCCGTGCTCCTGGCCAATCTCCCCCCTAATCTAGACAAGGACTCGAACAATGTCAGTTTATCCTTGACGGGTACATAATGGTCCACCCTCTGACACCTCTCCAGGAGCCTAGCAACGTCTTCCTCGCAGGGTTCCACGAGAATGGAGAGGGGCATCCCCGACCTGGGCAATGCTGCCGGACAACTGGTCTCCCTAGAACTAATCGCCATCTTCTGGAGTCGCGAATCTCCATTTTGCTGACGTGGAATCGGGATTGTGGAGGAAACGTTTGTAACGAACTTTTCTTTACCCTCCTGAAGGAGGTTCACGCAAGCTTCATCGAGGATCTTCGGCGACTCCAGCTGGACCCGATCTCCATTCAGCTCCAGACGCTCATTGGCGTGTTCCCCAGGAGTCCTTTCCACGTTCAATCGCTCTCCTAGAGTCCTTTCCACGTTTAGTCGCTCCCCATGAATCCTCTCCGCGTTCATTCTCTCCCCGTGAACGCGTTCCCGGACACTCCTCCTTTCCCTGGTCCTGCTTTTCCTCTCGCCCTGGTCAATCCTCACGTTTCCTAGATCGGGAAACTCGGTACCAGTCCTGTTGTTGTTGTTGTCGTCATCGTTCCTCTCCTGGAACCTAACGGAGCACTCGTCCCTATCCGGTATCGTCGTCTTCTCAGGACAGGTCAGGGTCGACTCCATGGGTTCTATCCTCTTCTGGTTGTCCTTAGACTTGGGGTCCTTCCTGGAGGTCTCCATCCTAGACCTGGACAACAGGATCGCGGTCGCCTTGTCGCCGTCGTTTTGGCAGGAGGTCCTCTTGGACTTGGGCAGGTTATTGTTGTTCTCTTCCGCCCTGGCTCTTCGCCTCCTGGCGTCCTCCTCCAGGACTCGCCTGCTCCTGGCCTCGTTTTCCCTCCTCCTGGCCTCCTTATACCGCTCGATCCTCTGTTCCCTGGTCTCTGGTTCGGGCAAGGAAGCCGTTGATCCTGACACCGAGTCCACCGAGTCCACGCTGGACTGCCCTCCACCCCAGGGGAGACTGTCGTCGCTTCCCTCGCTGCTTTCGCTGCATCCCCAGGTCCTGGACAGCATCTGCTCCTTCGGGACTATTCCTGGGATCCCCTGGAACTCCGTTACCAAGAGGTCCTCGTCGCTGGAATTGCTGGACCACCCTCGGAGCTCGCTTCTTGCTCGCCTCCTGGAGTCGTCCAGGATCGTCGTCGTCCTCATCGTCTTCTCCATCGGGGATTCACCTAGCCAACATCGCAACTCGCTCCTGGACCTGCGACGAGTCTCCGTTGGGCTCTCGGGAAGTGGGACGGGTCCTCTGGGGCAGATTGTCAGGATCTCCAGGAAGTTCAGACAACGCTGGGCTCGAAATGGCGTTTGCCTGACCAATTCCGCAGCCACGGCTCGCACCCACGACCAGTAGATCGGCTCCGTGTCCGTCTGAAACAAACGCAAAATTTAGGTTAGGTTCTCGATTATGGGCCTCGTATTATTCTTCACGATCCGGCTGACCGGTTTCTGTTTTGGAGAGCTCATCGACGGAATATGCGACGAAAGGTCACGACGCCGACGCCGAGGCGTCACCCGAGGCGTCGTCCCGAGTTTCACTTCCGCTGTAATGCAGTAATAATCGGCGCCGCGGTTTAACGACGGAATTCCACTGTACTGATGCACCGGAGTGGAGAACCAGACGTACAGGTCTACGCACTCCTGTCCTCGACTTTCCACGAGGCGAAATCGCCTGGAAATCCTTTCCCCCGTTTCGAGCCGACCTTGCCAGGAATTTCGATGGTATTGCGCTTCTTCCGCTGAGAGCGCCGAAAAAGTCAAGATTAATCGCGCCAAGAGAGATGCTAATGGAAACAAGGGTTGTTAAAATGAATTTTAAGGGAAAAGCAGGCGAACGAGGAATTCAATTTTCTCGGCAATCCTTTCTTAATTCGGCGACATTGCCAGGAATTTCGATGGCATTGCGCTTCTTCCGCTGAGAGCGCCGAAAAAGTCAAAATTAATCGCGCCAAGAGAGATGCTAATGGAAACAAGGGTTGTTAAAATGAATTTTAAGGGAAAATCACGCGAACGAGGAATTTCATTTTCTAGGCAATCCTTACTTAACTCGGCGACTTTGCCAGGAATTTCAACGGCGTTTGCGCGTCTTCCGCCGAGAGTGCGGAAAAGGTACAGATGAATCGCATTAAGACAAAGAAAATAATACAAATGAATGAATGAAAATGAAATCGCCTAAAAAAGAAAATAATACAAATGTGTATCGTTAATATAAATGGGAAAAAAAAAAAAATGTAAGCGAAGAGAACGTCACCTTCCCCTCGATTCAGGTAATAGAATTCAGGAAGATCTAATAGAACTCTTCAGAGTAGGTCGTGGGGCATTAAATGGAGGACACCCTCGACTACCGCGACTCAAAAGGGCTAATAGGGTCCCTTTTAAGCCAGGATTTGGCGGGGCAGCCGGCAGGATCGGGATCGGTGTCCGATCCTAGACTCTGCGGGGACTTTCGGTCACGTAACTCGAGAGATCTAACCGAGGATTAGGCAGATCCTTGGCAGGATTGTAATGGGGTCGCCCGGCAAGGTCTTAATACGTTTCCACCGGTCTAGGAGGACCCGGAGATACGTGGGAACCTGTTGGCCGTTCTCCCATGACTTGGCTTTGTAGGAATCGGACCGCGGTCTGCTCATCCTATTCACCTGGCCGTACGTGTTACGGACTCTCCTGATGTATGCGTTGCACCTTCCGCGTTCAATGGCGCGAGAGAAAAAAAATTAGCGTATTTAGCTAATCGTGCATAAGCGAAGGAGAGAGTGACAGAAATTCGTCCACGTCGAATGGAGCGACGTCGATCATCGTTGAACTGGACCTCGAGAATATTTATATATTTTTAATATCAAGGTCTTCACCTTTAGCGATGAAAAACGTCGCTTAACCATTCAAGGACTACGGATGAAATACCGATTTAATTTCCAACCCCGAAGGAGTCGTTCGAAATCACCGCTGTCGATCCAGGACGTGTTTTTTCATTTTTATAATCCCTCAGGCCCGTGCTCGTGCCTCGCTATTAAAGTCGGAAAATGTTTCTCGGTAGTCTAAAGAATAGGGATAATTGAGGTATTTTGGCAATTTACAGGTTACGGCGGTAGAAAAAAAACATATGCTAATGATTAATATGTTTAGAGACAGTTGTTCTGTATAAGTGGCGGTGATTTTGGACGACTCCTTCGGAGTTGGAAATTAAATGGCGACCTGTGCAGCGACTCGATCGTACCGCTGCAGTTGCAGCGAAACCGGAGCTGCTCCCGAGAAAGTGTTTACACCGAGGAAACGGATCGCCAGTTGGATAAGAGATTTACATGCAATTACCCAGCAGTCCGCTGCGAATCAACTTTGGGAAGGAACTTCCCTGCCACTTGTTTCCCCCAGCTCTCACTTTTTCCACGACTGTAATTTATCCACTACTCTTACAACCCACGTACACCTTTGGTATTAATGTATCTAAGGGTAGCATTTTCTGTAACTCTTCGTCAATTGGCAAATTACACCGTGGGACTAGATTTTTTTCAACTCTTCAAGAATTCAATCTTTAATCGCTCTCGCGTGGCGGTCCCTGAAGCAGTGATTTTTCAATTATTAATCTCCCAAGCGAAACCCCGAAGGAAGTGACTAACGCATTTACATTATCGCAAGCTACCTTTTGATTGTATGCAGCTATGCACGTTTCCGTTTTGGTAAACACGTTTCAGGGACGCATAAATCGACCTCGCTCCTATGAATTCATGGGCGGGCGTGCATATTTGCTAGCGTGCTCTAAACTCGGAACAAACTACTTAATCGAGTAACTCGTGGTAAAAAAAAACAAGCATAAAAGATCTCTTCCTCAATTTTTCACGTTCACAGAAGACAAATTTTCCTGGAATATGTATAATATCCACCCTTATTTCATTATTTTTCTATTAATATCACGGTATCGTTAAACGATTATCGAAATCGTGAGTTTCCTGGATGTATACGTTTTGCGCGCCATCTGTCGAGGAGAGGAAGAAGCAGGTACAGGAAAGAGTCGACCGGTAAGGCAGGACATTGGCATTTAGGAGGTAAGAATAGATTTCCCATCAATCCGAGGCGAACTTAATCGATCTTCGAGACCTAGGCGCGGAGTTTGAGGATTCCTCTCAGTCCTGAAGATTCTTCTAGGAGGAATCTCCGGATCTCTCATCGGCATTCTAAGCCGGCAGACTCTCAAGTGACCGCCAGGAATACTACGGTCTCGGTGGAAGGTTGCCAAAGCACGGAGAACGCAACGACCATGGGTTGGCTTACCGATAAAGGCCCGCCAACTTCTGGGAGCGTTAAACCCTAGGTCAGGGATGAATAACAGAGTAAAGGGAAGGAAAAGGTCCCACTTATTTATGGGAAAAAAAAGCGGAAAATGCGTCTCCGTACCTGCGTCTTACAGGTTAGGTCCGCGCCACCCGTTAAATCACTGACCAACAATGTTCCGTCGCATGCATAAAGTAATCCCATAAATAGTAGCATTTTATCCAAAGATTAACTAATTATAAAAAGATATTACTTAAGGGATGACCGAAGACAAACTACGGTTCTTTTCTAAAACTCTAAATGGCGCTGCGGTCGCTTGAGAGTTCCACTTTCTTATTCCATGTTAACTTGATTTTTATCCCTTGATACGTTGATTTGCAGGTGAATTAAAGCTAGAAATACGGAAATATCGGATGATTTACCCAAAAGGTGGCGAGGTTGTCTCCCTGCGAGTTGCTGAGAGTAAATCCGAGGGCCAGGGCATGAGGTTGACAAATGCTGGGTCCAGCCTGGCGGAGATTCAAGGCTCTCAGGGGTAATCTCATGGGTGTGCCTTCCACCCATAGCCAGCCCATTCTTATGGAGACCATCCTTCTTTCGCTCAGCTCCTCTACGTAAAGCTCGCCTGAAACAGGAACAAGACGTAACAATGATTACTCGAACCTCCTAGGAAGGTTTCATAATGAAAATAATCAATACGTCGTTTAGTTCCAGCTCGAAGTTCCACACAAAGAACCACGATGGAACCATTTCTGCCGGAACGGCCAGGCATTTCTCTTTGGACGAAAATATTTATTCGAACGATCAAAGAGAGTGCTATTGCAAGGACTCTTTTTACGCTTCCAGGCTTTTAATACCGGAGTTTGGCTTATGTCTGGTTTAACACTAAGAGCCGATCTGCTTCGTTAAGCCAGATGCGTTAAATTCAGTGACGTCACTGGATTTTGTATGTATACAGCGTGGGCGCGCAGAGAAATTTCCTCCAGTTCATGGGGGGTCGTTTAATTCCGGGCTTCGACGTCGGTTTCACGCCCACGATTGGTCAAACGACTTTGTCGATGGAGGAGCTATTTTTACCAAATTGGTCGTTACCATCCTTTTCCATTTTTTTAATCATCGAATCCACCCAATTCAGGTCGAAATCGAAAGAATCCAGAGGACCGATCTCATCATTAAAGGGATGTCAAAGTGGCATTTAAGGGATCAATCATGAAACTTTCCTCCGAACTGGGTGTACCGAATCGTTTCAAACTTTATAAAAGTGAATGTGGACGTTAGAAGGAAGGTCCCGACACCCATGAAATTTCATTTCTTACACAAATTGTTTAAAACGTCCGTGAATAAATTTAAAGAAAATTTGAAATTTCATGTCAGGGCCTATATAGCCATAATCATATTGTAAAATTTGAAACGGTTTATCCAGTTCGGAGAAAAGTTTCATAAACGCCACTTTCATTTTCCCTTAATACACTTTTTACACAAAAATGTTTAAAACGGCCATGAATAAATTTATCGAAAATTTGAAATCTCATGTCAGGGCCTATATAGCCATATTCATATTGTAAAATTTGAAACGGTTTACCCAGTTCGGAGAAAAGTTTCATCAACGCCACTTTCACATCCCCTTAATATACTTTTTACTCAAAAATGTTTAAAACGTCCATAAATAAATTTAACGAAAATTTGAAATTTCATGTCAGGGCCTATATAGCCATATTCATATTGTAAAATTTGAAACGGTTTCCCAGTTCGGAGAAAAGTTTCATCGACGCTACTTTCACTTTCCCTTAATAAACTTTTTACCCAAAAATGTTTAAAATGTCCATAAATAAATTTAACGAAAATTTGAAATCTCATGTCAGGGCCTGTATAGCTATATTCATATTGTAAAATTTGAAACGGTTTCCCAGTTCGGAGAAAAGTTTCATCAACACTACTTTCACATCCCCTTAATATACATCCAAGGTTTACATTGGTAAGTTTTCCAGCAGATGGGGAGATTCTGTTTTGAAAATATCCTTCTTCGGGGGCTCTTTGTCGGGTGGTCGCGGATCTTTGGGTCCTTGGATCTTCCGGAACGATCGGAGATCCTTGCGCGTCCTTTGCGAAAGAGACCGGGTGTGTCGCAACCCGACGCGACCTACGACACCACCGTCTCCATTGACACAAGAGGAAATGAGGATTCGTTTGCTCGCAGTTGCCCAACACAATCCATGACCATTCCCAAGCGTGCCTAACCACGCTTGACCATCGGATTCCAGGTGGTGGGACAATTAATCATTCCCTCTCGTCCACCGAGGGAGTAGCCATTGGCCCTCGTGGGTGAGACCGTCGTTTCGTTTTGTCAATGGACAATTCCCTTCTCCTTGTTATCCCTCGGCCGCAATACGACTGGATTTAAACGCTGAATTAAACTCCGCCTCGAGAGGCCCCGAGTGTCCAAGATAGCGGACTCAAAGTCGAGAGAGAAGGCTCGATTGCGCGTTGTACATTGTCTAAGTACGCGCGCGGAATGTCGTTTGCAAAATAAGTAGGCGGTACTCGTTCCTTCTCCCTCTTTAAGTCCGGCCTCATATTCCGTCTCTCTCCTTTTCCCCGGTCTCGGCCTTGCCGATTTTATGCTCTCGGCGGTCTTCGGTCACCTGGCGAGTGTTGAGAATGTTAATAACAATCTCGGCTCAAGATCGAGGAAATTACTCTCGTTACCCGGTCTCGCAACGGGCAAACCCCTTGCACGGAAAAACTGCGTACAGGGTCGACCGGTAATTATATAAAGTACCGCCCCTAGAGTGATCAGCAAGATTGGTTGCTTATAAAAAGTCACTTGTGTGGGGAAAAAAAATTCGATATTTGTGGAAATTAATGGCTTGTCGCCGAAACACACAAATTGATTTTTAAACATCACAAATTGAACTTTGTGACCCGATATCTCGGAATCGAATCGTCCTTTGAAATTTTGGTAAAAGAATTTCGCCTAGATTTTTCCTGGGCCATCTTTTGTTTCTTCAAATATTGGACTATTTAGCCAAGTACTTGGACCACTTTCAAGGCAAAGACGGATAATTGCCACGGTAAAGTACTTCCACTGTCGAATTGATTTTCAGAAACACTCCTTGAGGGAGCATTAAGGTGATGTGAAAGTGGCAACGAAGAGGTTTTGTTTATATAACTTTTCTCCCAACTGGATTTACCGAATAGTTTGAAACTTTACAACGTGAATAGGAAGATTATAAGGAAGGTCCTGAAAGTCATGAAATTTCAATTCCTTTCAAATTTGTTTATAGGTATTTTAAAGATAGTTTATAAAAAAATGAAATTTCGCGAGTTTCAGGACCTACCTTAGGGTCTCCGTATCCACGTTTTAAAGTATGAAACGATTTGAGACACCCTGTTCGAAAAAAAGTTTTATGAACGATTGAGCTTTCGGATGCCACTTTCACATCCCCTTAACGCGCAAATAGACTATTAACTGAAGCGCGTTAGCAGTCGTGTGTCTGAACTGGAAGGTAATTTTTATATTTAATTAGCCGATGCCTATCTCCGTCTGACAGGGAATTAAAGATGAAGATCGTATCTGTCGGGAGAGAGACAGAATTATCCTCCGCGTTTTATAACCTTAATACTTATGCAATTATAGCGGGAAAAACGGCTCGCAGTGCGATTGAAGAGAGTACGTACTTAAAGGTTTACAAGTCACGAAGGAGCGTAATGACCACCGGAAGTGCATTACTGGCAATTATGCGGCAGTTTCAGCGGTGCGTCGAGTTTTCCGGGAAGGGTGCATCACTTCTTGCCATCGAGAGAGGTTAATACGAGAAAATCAAGTGGGTGGCTTATCATTGGTCAAGAGACATTCCAGGAGGTCCAGGATCTTCGGTGTCGCCTTTGTCTCGCCCGGTTGGCCGGCCAATCCGAGTTTGCGCATGCGCGCGCGCTCGACGAGATAAGACGAGTTTATAGGTTAGGTTAGAGAAACAAGAGATTTCGCTTGCCGCAGTCTCGGCGTGGTATCGGCAATGTCGCGACGTCCCGATCTCCCGTTTTATCTGCCGATCGGTTTCGTTTCCTCCTATCGATAACCTTTGCCGACGTCCCCGATAAGGCAGTCCTCGCGAAGCGTGTCATGGCTGCGAAACAGCCCCATAAAAAAGGCCTGCCCCGAAGTTCCACCACCGTGATAGAAAGCGGAACCTCGGAAATAAAAAGTAGACGGGCATTTTCCGCGGTTCGTTTTTCACGTGGGAGCCCGGCGAATCGCTAATGAGAATCTCCCGGCGTTATAAGTTACGAGGTGTCCCGAAGACAAGATGGCGGCCGCTCGTTACGCCACGGAGAAAAACATATAGCTGCCCATTTCTTTCATTTTCCGCCTGGTAGAAGTTTTCCCACCTTCAAAGAGGAAATCATAAGACGCTCCGATACACAATACGGCGGAATAGCCAACCACAAAGACCTTCTCGCTAGAAATTGCTACTCAAGCCTTCTGGAAAAGACTGAAAAGAAACACCGCTCCGGTTTCCTCGTACTCAACCACAAATACGTTACCAATGGAAATACACCAAACACGACACCGATAGAACCACCTAAGGACTGTGGATAATTCTTTAGAAATCCTCGCGATACCTTGAAATTAATTAATTAAGGTGATACGAAAGGGTCATTATATATATATAAAATATAAAAATATTCATAAACCTTTTCTTCAAACTGGATGCACCGAATCGATGCACCATGTGATTATGGAGGTACCATGAAATGTCATGTTTGATTAAAAAAAATTTTTATTTAGCTTAGACTAGAATAAAAAATACATACGTTTTTATTTTAAATGAAATTTCATGAGCCCCATGTTCATCCAGTTTGGAGGAAATTTTTCTAAATATTTTGACGATGGTGCATAAAATGACCTTTTCATGTCACCTTAAGGCTTTCATTAGTTTATGGAAGAAAACATTTTCACGGTGTCACGTGGTGCGTTCGATTAAAGGGAATCGCTCGGCATGATCGCTCGATGAAAACGACAGGCGATCGACAACTCCCTAACCTATTTGTGGCGCTATCGCGTTTCGGTTTTCGAGGAAGAAAGCGTCGGCCCGCACGGACGCCACAATGCGGCCCGTCGAACAATCGCGTCGCTCGCATGCGTGCCCGCCGCAAAGTCGCGGGAATGTCCGGTGGAAATGCGCCTGCCGGCAGGTCGAACGGGCTGATAAATAAACTCGGGAGAAAGTACTCAGGGCTCGAAATAGACGACCAGGCTAGTTGCCAATGGTGAAATTAATACCGGGAATTCGTGTTGGAAATAAGACTGAAATGTAACACCGATCGGCTGATTTGTCGTTCGATGGGAACGGGACTTGAGCGCGGCCGCCATCTTTGATTCTCCGCCGACGTTCCTTTTCCCCAGAAACTCGGCTTATCTCGAAATAACTTCAGAAAAATCAAGGATATACCAATACGATAAAATAACAAGGGTATACAATACAATACAACGGTACTTGAGCGCGACTTCCCTAAGCGCGGCCGCCATCTTTGATTTCCCGCCGGCGTTCCTTTTCCCCAGAAACTCGGCTTATTTCGAAATAACCGCAGAAAAATCAAGGGTATACCAATAAGATACAATAA